AAAAAAAAAAAAAAAAAAAGAACTTTGTTTTGGGTTCTCAGGTGTGGGCATACGCTTGCTCCGGTTGCCAAGCGCTTGGCCCTTTGTTGGATGCTCTTTGCTTGCAGGAGTTCAGGAATCCTGCAGATGAGGAGGGACCTTGGTGGATTCGTTGCTAAATGCACTAGGAAGCCTGTGTGACGTTGTGATTCAAACCCTGTGTTGTTACCTTAAGCAAGGTGCTTCACTTCTCATGCCTGATTTCACTCTCTGTAAAATGGGGTAATGCTGTTACCTCATGAGGTTGCTGTAAGGATTGTGTGGATTCAAGTAAAGCACCTAAAACAACCTCAGTTATCCTTAGGTGGTGGGAGCAGGAATAATTGCCATTTCAGTTATTCTGCCATCTTGATTTGAGGTTAAAATATTATTGCTCTTACAATTACTACCCCCATTTTGCAGATAAAGAAATGGAGTCCCAGGAGCCGAATTCTTTCCCTGCTGGGAGTCTCCCCACCATGAAGAATGAGTCCCGGGGTAAGTTCATTAAATTCTAGAAACTGGCCTTCTGGCACCACATGCTGAGTTTTCTCACCCTAGCCCTGACCTCTCTGAGGCATGCAGTCCTTGGAAAAGTGTTGAACATCTAGAGCAGTGGTCTACCATCACCAGGGTCCTGATCCAGTGGTCTGGGCAGCTAACAGCACCAGCCTGCTTGCTGGTTTCCTGCCTGTGGAACTCCCTTCTAGTACCCTCAACCCAGCAGCCAGACCACTTCCCTGTCAGTTCTTCCATCACCAGTGCTGATAGATCAGCTCACACTCCTGTTCTAGGCAGTCAGCATCCATCTTCATCTGGCCCTGCCTGCCATCCTCCATCCTTTCACACACATTTGATATGCTAGAGATCCCCAGCCATGGACCAGTGGGAATTCCCAGGATAAGCCGGGCCTGGTACCTCCTGACTGCAGATATCCTCTGCTGCGTCTGGAAGACTTCTCTTCCTGTCTTTTACACTCCAGCACGCGCGCGCGCGCGCACACACACACACACACACACACACACACACATACACACACACTCACACTCATACACTATTCTCTCTTTCTTTCTCTACCTTCCCCTCGAAATGTTTGTTTTCCTGGAAAATTTCTCCCTTCAAGTCTCAATCCAAAGGCAGTCAGAGTGTCCCCTGCAGATTTAGAAACTCCTTGGCCAATGATCCCTGCATCTGACTCCTTGCCCATTGCTCCTGGCATCAGACTCCTTACCCATTGTTCCTTGTAGCTGACTCCTTGCTCAGTGCTCCCTGCAGCTGACTCCTTGCCCAGTGCTCCCTGCAACGGACTCCTTGCCTAGTGTTCCCTTGCATCTGATTCCTCGTGCAATACTCCCATCTGACTCCTTCCCCGTTGTTCCCTGCAGCTAACTCCTTACCTAGTGCTCCCTGCATCTGAGTCCCTCCCCATTTTCCCCTGAATCTGACTCCTTGTCAGTGCTCCCTGCAGCTGACTTTTTGCCCAGTGCTCCCTGCATCTGTACATTCCTCCACCAAAGTAATGACCATGCTGTGTTCCAACCAGTTTCATGTCAGTGTGCTTACCTAACTATGCTCCTTGTGGGCCGGGCTGGAGTGCTTTTGTCTGTGTCTTGGAGGCCAGCCCAGGGCCTCAGCCCACAGTAACATCCTTAGTAAACATGGGCCAAATTAATGAATGCACAAATGAAGGAACCACAACCCAGCCCTGTAGAACAGAGATGGCACAGCCCGAGGGACCCAGGAGTGAGTTGTTAAACTGACAAGAACCAGAGCTACAAAGCTTTGAGGTTATCCTTTCTCAAACCATGCCTCTATTGAGAATGATAAGCTTAGGCTCAGAGGAGGGAGACAAAGGCCCAAAGCACACCACAAGTTAGGGGCTGAGACAGAACTCCAGCCCAGGCCTTCTGGCTCTTGGCCTTGGGCTAATTTCACCACTCAGCCCAAGAGATGTTGGAAGATGCTCTTAGCACATGTCTGGGAGGCCCACTGGCAGTTCTATCTCAAACTCCTGATTGTCCTCATTCTCAGATGAGACAACAACTGCAGCCAAACTCACCAAGCTTCAGTTGCCACATCCGTCTAATGGGGAAAATCTGTAGAGACTCTCAGGACTGCAGGGGGGACAGTCAGGGAGATCAGGATGCGGGGTGGAGGGTGTTGTGAACACTTGGCTCTGAGGTCAGCCAGAGCCAAGTTTGCATCTCAGCTCTGCCCCTTGCCCCCTTGTGACCTCAGGTAAAATGAACAAGATGAATACAACTGTACCTGGTGGTGAAGATCAAATGCAATTGACATGCCACGCAGTAAGCACAGAGCTGGGCATACAGTAGGTACACAGTAACTGCTGGCTGTCACCACCATCATCATCACCCCACAGTGCTTTTCCTCACTCCTCTCCCCTTCTCTCTACCAAGGACTTACCTGCTTCCTCCTGCCAGTCGCACTATGTGTTGGTGACTTTTAGTTTGTCTAATAAGGTAATTCCTGCCCATGGCTTGAAGGTACCACCCTCCCTGGATAACCATGTTTGCCTGATTGCCTTCGGTACCTTAACTCCCAGAGCAACTGGAAGGAGGTTTGGAAGTGGATGGGAGAGTTAGTGTTTGGATGACCCCCAGCCTCTGCATCCTGATCCCTGAGAGTCTCCATGGATTTTCCCCCAGTAGACAGATATGGAAGCCGAAGATCAGTGAGTTTGGCTGCAACCCTTCTCTCACCTGGGAATGAGGACAATCAGCTCCTCTACACCCTAGCCATGTGACCTCAAGCAGGTCAGCTGACTCTGTGAAATGGGCATATTGTCTCTGAGGTGCCCAGCCTAGTGCTGGACCCAGAGCTAACAGAAGTGAGTTAGAGAGTCAGCCTGTCACCAAGAGAAGAGACCCCAGGAGCCAGCCTGTGGCCTCTGGAGATGGCTAGGCCACTTCTCTCCCACTGTCAGAGGGGTGGGAAGGAGCAAGTCTACACTGCCTCCCCTCCCTGCCCTTTAGGAAACCCCAAGGAGGCCCAAGTGTTTACAGCCCTCTCTGGGAAGGGGATGGGTTACGTAATGCCAGATGTTTGTGAAACTGGCTCAGGCCCAGGTCTGAGACACACTTTGCGATCCCAGGGCCCCTCATAGGCCCGCCCTCTCCTCTTCCCCTTCCCCCCACATCCCCCTCCCCACCAGGGCTAGTGAGAAGT